TCACTTGAACTGCCTATGCAATGCAGGTGGACAGCAATGCAAGCATGTCCTGTAGACAGACAGTCACAACTACATTGCCTCTTGACTGGGAAAAAGAAAGGGACTAACATTCTCAAACTTTTTAAGGCTGTATGAGTCTGAAGACCTCATAAGATGTTAGAAGGAAATAAATTTATCCTCTAATAAGAAATGGCTGTATTAGGATGTTGTAGTAAGCTGACACTTCTTTTTGCACGGAAATCCACTTGTTTATTGCCCCAAAGGCCACAGTGGCTAGGCACTCGCTGGAAAATGATGTTTCCACTTTAAAGTGAGAGTTCTTGACATTGCAAAATTTCAGGCATTAATGGGTGTCAGCTGTGTTAGCTGACTGAATGAATGGCTGCATGAGAATTAGAAAAAATGACTGCCTTTACAAACTTGTCATGGATAGCTAATAATTGATTTAGGGCTATGCATATGGTACTAATTCCATATTAAAAGGAAGTACCAATGTATCCTTCAGGGGTGTAAAAAGAAAAGATTAGAAAACACATCAGCCCCCAACTTTAAAATGACAGTCAAACTGAGAACCATCAGTAAAAATGTGCAGCCACTGAGTAGGTGGATATATAGCTGCAATGGTCACCAAAGTGCTAAACTGATTCAATAAATCTAGAATAATTACTTTAATCACACAATCACAGGAAATGCCACATAAGAGTTTCAAAAATCAGTGATGCAAAATCAGTAGAGAATGAGTTATTTGAATTATTTTCTTTTAAAAATGTATGCAGTTAATAATAATAGCATCAATAAACATAATCCAACCTTAATTTTTTCAACTAAGCATGACGTAACGTGAAAATTTTAAGCTTATTTGAACGTGCTATTAAAGGCTATCTTTTTCAATACAAACAGAAATAAATATTCATTAAACTAGAAAATATAACAAAAATTATCAGTCTCTGATTTAGTCTTTCTTTTCTAACAACTGATAATTTAAATCAACACTTATTGAAATTTTCTAAGTGATACTCCTCATCAGTTCTCAGTACTTGATGCAGACTAGTTTTTGGAAAATAATTATGCTTAATTTTCCACCAGAGATATTAAAAAAAGGAGAAATTTAGTGAGAAATATAAGCTTTTTTTGGCCCACTTAAAAAAAAAAAAAAAAAAAAAAAAAAAAAAAAACCTTAATGTATAGAAAAGTATACATGAGAAACCCAAACAAAAATTATGAAACTTTCTGCACAGAAAAACTAAAATATTTGGTTTCATTTCTTTAAAAGGATTAACTGAAGCATGTCTGTTGAATTACTTTAGTTATCAAAATTTTTAGATTATAGTTTTCTTAAATACCTTAGAAATTTTATAAAACCTACATATATACATACAAAGCAATTTAAAAAAACTTTCAGACATATGCTGTATCTGTATGTTCACGAATATAAATTTACATAATAGACTAATTGATTTTTATGAGTAAATTTTCATTTTTTATGATTATTCTTTGGACTAAACTCTGAACATATTGGTACAATTAATCAGTTCAAGCATATGATGGACATCCGAGAACTCTGCATTTAATAAGCTACATTTCTTAATATAAAATATCGTATTTGCACCAGACTTTTTTTACAGAAATAATTACACTGGCAGCATTTGTAGATTTAAATGAGCTAACTGCTTCATGAATTAGTCATCATATAAAGGTTTTTGGAGTGGGAGTTGCATCCCCTTTACCACATTGAAAAACTAAGACAACAGTTTTCATCATCCAACTCAAGATATACTAAGAAAACACTAAAATTGTCAAGGTCTACCATTTGCTTTCAAGAAAAACTTAAATGTGAATACGAAGTTTTCAGTTTTAAAGACCAACACTTAAAATTTTTAAATATTGCATTGCTTTGAAAAGTAATGCTATGCATTTTAATAAACTTTATTGTTAAAATTCTGTAGTCTTACTTATTATACCAATTATTAAAATTGATGTGTAAAAGAAAATGATCCATTTAAATACAAGATACCATTTTACATATTTTATTGGTACAAAAATTATTTGTCCTTAGCTCTTTTTCCAACTGACTTTATGTGTTGAACAATTTGTTCTAGAATATATTATAATGCCCAACTATAATTTTTCTACTCACAGTAAATATAAAGTAAGAAACTGATTATGGTAGTCTTGCTCTTGATCTACCAACAAGCATTCAACTCAAGAATGAAAACCAAATGGAACACAGTCTTTTACTATTAAAATTCTCCTTCTTAAACACTTACTGATTTTATTTCATTTGTCCTGTATAAAAAGCATGCCATGCTTTAAATTCATTATACTCCCTTCCTTATCAATCATCTGCAAACAAATGCAGCACACTATTTAATAAAGACAATAATTAAGATGAAAAGATATGTTTTTACATCAGAGTAAATTTAAATGAGTGAAATAAAAATGAAATCAATATTCCTAAACTTGAATTTAAAATTCATGGTGGAGATCATAAATTTTCTTTTAGAACTTCTTTTCTTTTTTGATCTTCTTTTTAAAACCTACTACTAACAATTTTGGTTAACTATCTTTAACTAAATATTATTCAGACAGTAGCATGCTTTAGAAGATTCAGCTTCTGCTGTATGTCTTTAATCTGTCCATGACATAATTTTAAAAAGTTAACAATTCAGAAACATATACATAAAAAACAGACGAAGTTGCAAAGAAAAATTTGCTTTGTCATGACAGATTTCTAGATAATAAAAATCTAAATTTTACAGAATGCTAAATAAATTTTTGAGTAATCATAGATTAAGTTGCAAATTCTGATAGCTGTGATTCAAGTTTAATTCCAGGTGGTAGAAAAGGCTGGCTGCAAAAGTATTCCTCTAGTTTCACCCATACAGTTCAAGCCCTTTCCCTTATAAAGTTATATAAAGGTATCTTTTCTGCAGTAAACAGACTTCAGATGCCTAGTGGATTAATTAACCAGTCTGGTCATTTTGCTAGTAACTCTATATGTATATTTTATATGAATTTTAGAACACTTCACAGGTTTAATAATTTCAAAGAATTGAAAACTTCAAGAAAAGAAAAAAAATTGTATTAAGGCAAAACTTAGTTTTCAGATCTGCACTGGATGTTTACAGGGGGAAAATTATTTTTTTAGTTTCAGAAAAATGTTATTCATACCATTTAAAAGTTATTTAAAATTAAATTCTTCACTTCTAGGCAGAAAATTACAGAGTTCTAACAGAAAAATATTTTTGCATAATGTTTAAAATCCTTTGTTTTGCAATCTTTTGTTTACACAAATTCAAATTTCATGTATTTGATTAGACAAACTTTAGGCTTTTGTAGCTAACATAGAAAGCAGAATTATCTAAACTAATGATATATTTTATTTGCATAGGGCATAAATATGTTTCAGCAAGATTATACTTACCGTCAGGATTGAAAAGTTAAAACTTAATTGATACAATATTATAAAGTTTTTCACACACATTTAGCACAATGAATCTCAAATCAAATTAAAGTGATACCATTTATCCTTTAAATGCTGTTTTTAATGCAGAAATAATTCTGATTCATGATGACTCTTTTTCAAAATAAAATTCAGAAATATTAATCAACAGAGAAACAAATGCATTATTTTACTGAGGTAGTCTGAAAACAGCTGTAAGGAAAACTAGGATCTGAATTTCATTGTAGTGAAATAATTCTCAACAGGATGAAAAGCGAGATTAAACACATTAGCAATAACTATTTGAAACAGTAACTGCTTATATGAAATACATACATAATTTCAAAATTTATAACAGGGATATTTTATTTTGCAAAACATTTCGATTAAATCGTCATATTTTATATTTTATTTACAATCATCTTGTTTATTTTCCACCTGAGAGTGAGAAACTTAAATTACAATCTCATAGCCTGAATTGAAAAGCATCCAGATCACAGAGATCCCTTGATTATGTTTTATAAAATGCTATGAAAAAATTCTAATGTTAAGCACATTGCTCAATGCCAAAAAGAGGGTGTGCTGTTAACTTTAAACTAGGTTACAATTATCACTATTATACTTTCTACTCCTTCAAGAAATACTAAGGACATAGTAACTGAATATATATGATTCCACTAGTATATATATATAACATAAAAAAAAATCAACATACTATTTCTAAATTTTGACTAGTACAGACATCTTTTATTTCGATGAAAATGACAACTAGTTATAAAAAAAAAGTAAATTCTTCAAACCCAACAACTAAAACATAACTTCTTAAAAATAATAATGCACACACAATATGTTTTACACCAGTTTAGATTCATTAATTGTTTTGATCCTGAATACGGTTATCACATAGTAATAAATGCAGAGCTGGTGAAGGATTATAATGGTTCAACACCACATCACCAAGCAAAAAATCCATACCATTTTAGAACTGCACAAATTCCATTGATGAAAGATATATTATGTTTTTTCTTCTTAGATTAGTTGGAGTTCCTCTCTATATAGCAAAAAATGTGATAAAACTCTCACAGTAAAAAAGCCATGTTATATATATAGTGTATATATATATATGTGTGTATAAAAAAGATTCATCACATAAACAAAAATCTGTTAAAATCAATGAATGATGTTACTTAAAAATATGGTGTATAGTGTCATACAAAGTCTAATAAAATAAAGAAGTATTACATTAATCAATATAGTAATATGACATGAGAAAGCATACTTAACATTTATGAGGTTCATACAACATTTAAAACAGACAATAAATACTTGTTAAATATATTATGACATTCATGACATAACACACAAACATCACTGTTCCACAATTAAAAAAAATATTGCTCTTTTGTTTTCACACATCTATATATACATATAAAAATTAATAAAACTGTACTGAGATAGAAATAACACTAATGTAATGAATATTTTGACAATTTAATTTTTTACTTGAACTAGATAGTGTTCATTTGTAAATTATGATTCATTTTAGAATAGTGTTTAAAATACATAAATGAAATGACAAAACTGTTAATTCAATAATATCATAATGCAAGAAACATTGTTAAATACATAGATGTAATGTATAACATTTTTTAAGAGTTTGGGGCATGATACAATTAAGAAAAAATAATTTCTTGCAATTTTTGTCTATTTAACATGTCATTAAACAGATACTTTATCACTAGCTGCATTTAAAAAGGGTCAACACACACATTCAATTTACATTCAATAAATTAAAAACACATAACAATTAAATAAATATTTATAGACTCAACATATGACAATAAATAAAATGCATATCAACAATAAAACTTGCATTATTTTTAAAAATTTCAGTTTCAAACTCTGACAAGATCACTTCCATGTAACAAACATATTTTGTAAAATTTTGCATAGTATTAAATAGACAGTCATATATCTCTAGAAGTTTTAGCAACAAACACAGAACTTCTGAATACTTCATCTTTAATTAACTTGATATAAATGCATCTGAAACTGGAACTGACTAGTAATTTTTTTTTACTTCAGACAGACATTTACAAACAACTATTTGCAGAATTGCTGCTGATTTAAAAAACAAAACAAAATAACAAATTCAAAACAATAAAAACAATTTAAAATATGTGAGCAAGTGTAAAATACTGAAACAAATCAACACAGTTTAAAATGACAATATAACTTCTCATTTAAAAAATGGAAGCACAAGATGTTGCATTTGAAAAATAGAATGACGAGATTTACAAGAGCTACAAAAGTTGCTCAAGATTAAATAAATAATAAACCTATTTAAATATATATAACAAAGAAAGAAGTCAAGGACAAAAAATTACACACTAAAATAAATAGTAATTAAGCACTTATTCCATTAGGAAAAAGGTTTCGCCCTGGTGAGCAGGCAACATGTGTGGCAGTGTTGGTTGCATTAGGTAGAAATGGCACAGCTGCTCCCTGTGACAAAAATTGATTTCCAGAACTTCCACTTCTTCTACAGTGACATGGACGGAGGAGCTTAGGATATATAAGTGCCTCTCCATGAGGGCCTCGGAATATTACTCCACAACAAATTCTCTCCCTAAGGAGGTTAAAAAATCAATTCATTACAGTAAATCTTAAAAAGGAAAATAAGAACAATAATTCCCATTAACAGATTCGAGTTGCACATTTACATGATTCACAACTAGCAAAGTTTACTATGGTGCAATTTCCCATATCATTAGAATTTATAAGTAAAAATGCTACAAAGTATTGACAAGTAACCAGTATAAACTAAAACGTTGAATTACCATTCAAAATTTCAAATCAGTCCCCATTTCCACAGTGAAGATTTGCTAGAATGCAAAAAAAGCCATTTTCCTAAGTAATGTAAAGCTGTTACCCATTATCTTCAGTACCCTAAAAATGTCAAGCCACACAAGATTACAGTTTTCAGATGTTTTCTTTCTTTTTTTTATTTTCTTAAATTTTTTTATAAATTTACAAAAGTGATATTTATTCTATAAATAGTCACCCTTTTAATGCTAACCTTATTCTTCAATAACATAACTGCTAATTATATACTAATTACTGCTCCTCACTCAAATTCATCACACTTTTTTATTGTGGATACCTCTCTCAATATTCATTAGCAAGTTTTGCTAATCCTGGCAATATGCTACCACTTTTCTCTACCTCTTGTAATCAGAGCTATATTTCAAATGAGTTCTCAAATGACAAAATGAGTTCTCTCATTGAAAGCTGTTAAGTCAGAATGAATTTAAGGAAAGTGACAGTTCCCTAGACCATACTGAGGTGTAAGATAAGCCCCCCCCCAAAAAAAGTTAGATACAAGAAAAAATTGTGAAAGAACAGATCAAAAATATTTACACAGTTTCAGAATTTCAGCATGAATGCAGTCACCAATTAATTTCAGGTGGAGACAAAGAGCCCTTGCAATGGACCTCCGTGATTTTTACAATGCACTGAAGAAATCACTTTCACTCTCAGAAAGTAATATCCGTCATTCTGATGCAATTTTCCAGAATTCTGTCACATTTTATTGAACAGACTTTGGCTGTAAAGTAGTAGTTCAGGGTGAATGTTTGGTATAAAAAAAGTAGAGTGAATAGATGGACATCCAAAAAATTGCAACTAATGCCACTGCAACAAGGTTTAGTTTCCAGACACATTTCAGATGAACCTTAACGAAAATGTCAAATGAGACATTACATAAAATTGTTATCCTTACTTAGACAAATGGGTTACCAAGCAATTAATGAAAACCTCAATTTATTCAAATTATCAAGAACAGCAAAAATCCTAGCACATTGTCAAGTTACTGATCTAGCTCCCCCACCAACATACTGAATAATTTAACTGAACGATTTATTGGTAATAGACTTCTTTTATCAGTAAAGACATGATTGCATTCCATCAGGATTTCAGGAAAAAAGGAATGCCGTAGAACAGTCAGAGAGATTTACCCAACTAATCAAAAGTGGTTTCCAGCATAAACAGAGCTCAATGATTATTTTTATTGATTTTTATATTACCTCTGATACGGTGTGCAGAAGGATTTTTCATAAGGTTATAAATTTGGAAACGTGGAAATGTGTACAATTGGATAAAATCCTTCTTTTAGACAGGGATGGCCTCGAGGCTCAATGGTAAGTCCAATGGATGATAGTGATCTGAAAAAAGATCAACTTATTGAAATGCGAGCAAGTGGACATGTTCAAATGGAATTCGAACAATTAGAACTGCAACAATTCTGGTGTTCACAGTTACAACGTTATCCAGAATTGGTGAACGGAGCACTGCAGTTACTCTTACCCTTTGCTACCACCTGCTTGTGCGAAATGGGATTTTCATCGCTTTTGCATATAAAATCTAAAGCGAGAAATCGCTTAAATGCAAGTGGTGACTTACGCGTATGTCTTTCAAAAAAGAACCTTGCTTCGGCAGTATAGTAATGAAAAAACAACAGACTAGTCATTAATAAAAATAATATTGTTTTGTATTTATATAAAATGTACGTTTTTCAATAAACAATAAGTTTCGCAAAAACTGTATTTTTCTAGACTAAAAAAATTAAAACACAATTTTCAATGGGGTGCGGGAGATATATTTTCAGATTCAATGGGGTGCGACTTGCTAGAAAGGTTAAGAAACACTGGCTTAGACCATCCGTTATACATTAAATGCACATGTGTAAATGCATTATGTGTTTACGCATGCGCAGAAAATTTGTAGCTTTGAGGTCCAGATTATGGACATCCGGATTAAAGACTTTTAAACTGTATTATAAAATCAGAAATTTTACATACCTATATCTTTTTGATATCTTATTTAGATTTTGCAAAAAGTTTCACTTTAATACAGAAAAATTTCCTTAAAAGTTTAATTAACACATTTGTGCAATTTTGGCAGAGAAGAGGAATAAAATAATTATGTTTAAATAAGAATGTGAAAACTGCAAATGAGGATTTAAAAACTTATTTACGTTTATATATTACACCTTCAATAGGTAGTAAAGATTTAATACTTTCTTTTAAGTAAAAGTATATTTATAATATATTTCATCAATTAATTAAACGGTACTACTCTTATACACTGGTGTGCAAAAAGTAAGGACGAGACGGTTTTCTTCAATATAACTTTGTACAAAAGCTTTCCAAATAAACACATTTAATACCGTAAGATCCCCAATACGTAAGGACATGAGTAATGTGAGCAACACTTACTAAAAGAGAAATCAGAGGGATAAAAAGAAGCTTTATGAAAAAGTAGCATGGAGCGCAATGCGACTGAAGGCCGAAACATCCCTGTGATGGGTGTCCAGCAAGAAACATCCGGTCTTTAATAGGGGATATGATTTCCCCTGACTGCTATGCAGATTTCACAGCGCCTGCCCATGCTGAGAATGAGGGTGTCAATGAGTTGTTGAGGCATTGCTGCCCATTCGTCTTGCAGCGCCAATCAAAGCTCTGGAATCGTTACTGGTGGTAAGGTACGAGCTGCCAAACATCTGCCTAGAAAATCCCATACATGCTCGATGGGATTGAGATCCGGAGATCGTGCCGGCCAATCCTTACGTTCAACATCCTCACTCTCTAAGAGCTGTTCGGCAGCTACTGTGCGATGACATGGTGCATTGTCGTCCATGAAAAGGAACTGCGGACCCATAGCGCCTCTAAAAGGACGCACATATGGAAGAAGAATCTCATTACAATAACGGGTCCCGTTGACTGAACCTGCGTCGAAGATGTGAAGGTCTGTACGACTACCAAGCACAATGCCTCCCCAAACAAGAACACCTCCATACCTGTCTGTGTTTCAATGATGTTCGAGGGATGATTGCGGCTTCCCCGCTCTCTCCAGATGAGTATGCGATGAGAATCGCTACTCAGACTGAATCTGCTCTCATCTGTACAGAGTACTAGTCCCCATTCATTGTCTATCCAATTCCGGTGTTCCCGGCACCACAGAGAATGCCTTCTCCGATGGGCAGGCGTTAGAGGTACACACTGTACAAGGCGTCGTGCAAACAGACCACCACTGTGCAGTCTTCTGGCCACAGTAAAACGCGATGTCGGTCGTCCAGTCGCCTGTGTCGTGTTGTCTAGCGATTTTCTTCCGCTGTCTGCCGCCTGTTTCTTTTCTGGCCTGTAAGGCAATATACGGTCATCTGCGGGTGTGGGTTCCTCATGGACGACTACTACTAAACCCCCGGATAGCTGTAGTTCCTGTATGTTTGTCTCCAAAATCGTGAAACGATGCTGTGGGCAATTCCGAACTCTGTAGCCACACTTGTCACACTGCGGCCTTCCTCCAACTTCCCAATGATTTGACCTCGGGTAAAAGCATCCAGATGTCGTCTTGATTATTTGCCATTTCTCGCTGAAGCAGCAACTCGGTGTGATTTTAACTGCTGTACGGCGTGCAATCTCTTTGCCAGAAATACTGATCTTACACTGACAACATGCTTTATACTACTCAGACACTCCCCCATTACGTCTACCTGCATATTTACCTTACTTAATCTCCGTACATCACCTTACTTAATCTCCTGATTGGTCTTTCTGTCCGCTCTGCCTCTTCGTTCAGCTGATATGCTAATTTTTCGACTTCGTCCTTAATTTTTGCACACCAGTGTATGGGCCTCAGATGAATGGCAATTTCGTCCTTAATTTTTGCACACCAGTGTATGGGCCTCAGATGAATGGCATCGCCAAATGTGGCGATATGTATTCTGCACTGGTTTTTGGCACAATTGTGTGTTTGCATTATTTTGCTGTAGTGGTTGGTTGGTTGGTTTGGTGGGCGTTTTGAAATGGCTTATGTTGCAATAAAAGACGTGGTAGCAAAATTTCAGTTGCGTATTGGATTGTCTGCAAGGTAAATTTAGTATTAAAAAACACGACATAGGAGTTGTTAACGAGTTTTTTGTTCATGGGTGTATTTATGTGGTTTCTATACACGAATGTATGCTGGGCTTTGTATGCTCTCTGTCTCAGAAGATAGGTTGGAAGAATAAAGTGGTGAAAATTGATCAGTTTTGCTGATGTTTGAAATTGATATTTCTGCTGTTTGAAAAAGCATTCACAATGTTAAGTGCATTTTATTTTTTTTTTTGCTGTTCTTATTTTGTAGAATGTTATGTTCATTTTTTTTTTGTTATGAATTTCTCTTGTTACTGTTTTTTTTAATTGTTTGTAATTTATTTTAGTTTATTTTGTTGATTTGTGCGCAATGCTGAGGGAGTGCGCGATGCCTATATTGTGCAATTCGCTGATGTTTTTTGAAGTTAAAACAGAATGCTGTGTACATGGTATTGTTTGAAATTTATTGTTGTTATGTTAGCTTATTTAAGCGAGGTGTGCATAATTCCCAGCTTACTACACTGTATAGATTGTGCAATTCTCTGTTTTTTTTTTTTTTTTTTTTTTTTTTTTTTAATCGCTGTGTACATGGATTCGTGTCAAATATTTTTGTTTAGAAACTTTAAGTTTTCGCAATCTAAATTTTTTGTTTTTGTTTTGGATTTTCGGCATAAATTGTGTGTTAAAAATGTGGTTTTTGTACATGCGAAGAACCGCATTTTTGCAGACATTTTAGGCTTAAAGTTCAAAATGTAGACAAAAAATTTAGATAGCAATATGATGCAGTGGAGTTTCTCACCCAAAATGTTTGGCGAGAAATTTGTTGCCAATCGAGGGCGTGTTCAATTAAACAAATTATTTGTGAAATAGTATACAGCATGCATTATTAAGGACAATTTTATATTAAGCATATCAACAAAGCACAAACCATACATACAAATGTAATGTTTCATATTGGAAAAGTGTTAAAAAATCCATATCTATATTTTGCTGTTTCTGATCTCCATTTATAATCTGTAACTGCTTGATCAACGGACAAGATGATATTCTTTGGATCAAAAAATAAGATAAAATCATTATTACAAATTTTATCTGTAAGTCGCTGATTCGTATTTTATTCTGGAAAACCTCACATTTGAATTAATAAGACTCAGGGGTTTTTTTTATTCAATTTAAAAAAAAAAGATTTTCATGAATTTTTTTTTCATTTCATTTTCACATTGTTAATGAACTTCCTCCTTTTTATTTGGTAAGAAGAAGAAGTTTTGGGCATTCCCCGTATCGAGAACTCAATCTCATTCCGGGTCCACTCCCCCCTTCGGGCACATCATGGTGGTTCAACCTCCACTATTACCCTCCAGGAGAGCAGTGCACCGCCTGGGACGCACCCGGGGCGGCACCGGTCGTCTAATGCACCTACCAGTCGCTTGGGCGAGCCCGTCGCAGCGGGACATTACCCAGCGACCCCGGGGGAGACCCCCGGGTTACTAGAACCACGCCACGCTAGGACGTGCCAGACTCCGAGGCCAGCCAATAAGTGACCTTTCCCAGAGCCTTCAGAACCACCAAGTTCATAAATTTTATACCCCCGTGGCCGAGACTGCCTAGGTACAGATCCTAACCAGTAGCTTCGCAGAGTTCTCTACGTCGACCCCTGGGGGGATTTATTTGGTAAAGTTGGCATGACATATCTTACGTAGGCTGTTGATTAAAAAAAAACAATTGTTGTAAACCTACTTTACTACTTTATCCACCCAGGATGCAAAATCACAAGATAGCTTCATCAGCATTATTTCCTCTTATCATAGCAACTGTTTCTTATATCATAAAATTTCTTTTCACATATTTCAGTTACAGAATATTTTTACAAAGGAGGGAAATAACTTTCTAACAACACATCAAAATGAAAATATATACTTATATAACAGCAAAATGTACAAGCATGTACACAAATACATTGGAAAGCAAAATTAAGCTCATTTTTAACATTTAAAAGAAAATATTTCTTCTGAATGAAACTTTTCAAGCTGAAATACGCAAGAAATTTTCTCTATCATTTCATTTTCTGAGGAGGTAAAATAATGAAGAGTATACAAACATTTTGCCAATCAGTAAGTGCTAGTTCATCTTTTCACACACACACACACACACAAAAAAAAAAAAAAAAAAAAAAAAAGAGGATCCTGATCAATATAAAAGGCTATACGTGAATTTAAAAATATATAACTACACAATGAATTATAATAAATGCATTTACATTGCAAAAAAACTTGATCACATATGCCGGAAAAGTTGAAATTTGAGCTTACCTTGAAATGGCTTGACTTTTGATATCTATAATTTGTCCATACATTTTTAAATTTTAACAAGAATCACAAAGCAATCAAAGTATTTATTAAAATGCAAATACTTTTCTACTCACTCTCTCCAAAATGTCATATCTAAGAATGAAGATATCTTATGAATATTATATGGTGTTTTGTTGCGTTTGTTGATTTTATTTAAGATATCTTTCCTTCTTTTGTTTTGAATAATATCATGCTCCATGTCTTCATCAGGTTCTTCAAGTATTGTTGAATCATCTGAGGAGTTACTAGGAGAGGGACTTGGCACTCGACTATGTGGCACTGAGAAACTTGATGATTCACTGAGGCTGTCTTCATTTCCTAAACGAGAATTTTAACAATAAAGAAGTGCAAGCTATTGCACTGATTCTTTCCTGAATTGATTTGTCCTTATGATATATTTCCCTATTAATATTAGATATTTTTTTGACTTGGTGTAAAATATGTGCATATGTATAAATAAATAAATATGTAAAACGCGTAAATTTAAAATAAGTAAAGCACTTAAAATCTTGAGGATATTCCTTGGTAAATATAATGCGAATGTTAAAGTGAATAAAGAAAATTAAAATCATGATTAACACAATGTTAGTTTATGCAGTTCTAATGGAACTTTCATGGACAGCCTGCCTATTTTGCCAGTTAGAACTTAAATATTTGCCTGTTTAACCCTGAGATTTCCCTTCATTTCTTCTATTCACTTATCATGTTGGTTTAATCAACAGTTACACTAAGGCACTGGTTACAATCTGTGATTTCCATCTTAAGGTTTCATTTGTACTTGTTCTTTTAAGAATAGCCAATTAAATATATAAAAGAATGACCAGATCTTTGATACAACTTGGTCTGCTTGTTATTTCTGTTCTTTTCCTAAATTTAAAATCATTCATGGATATAATTACTAATGATTTTAATTTAAGTTTTTAAATATGCTCTTATATTTTTTATTTATTTAAAAAATTAAACATTACTTACATTTATCCTTATATATTATATGAATGATCCTTACATATTTAATTAGAGATGTTCTGTTTTTTAATGCTATTACTGTTGATGAGTCTCTGCATGTCTTTGTGTGCTCCATAATTTGGCTACCAAACTAGCATTATTATTATTATTATAGGATGTTGGGCATAGATTTTGCATTATATCCTCCAGCCTTATCTGAGTTATGTATACCTGTTGTACAGTCTGCACACAAAGCCCATAACCCCTAAAATATTTTGTAGTCTGTTAAGCTTTTAAAAGAGGGATACATAAAAATCAGCTATGCCCTCAACAGGATTCAAACTCTGGATCTAATAGCCACATGTGCTACCAGTTACACATGAAGGCACACAGTGAAGAAGAAAATTCTGTATAACTTTAGTACATGCATCACAAAATCACTTACGTGAACCAACATAGAAGGGGGCAATTTCTTACTTAAGAACCCAAACTGTTCATATGTGTCCATCCATGGTCTCTACATAGCAAAATGCACCACAAAGTTTTTTTGTTCACGTTATCCAACATTCATGTAATCACTTTCTTAAGGCCTTCAGATATAGCTTCTTTGGAGTTCACATTTATTAAACAATAAACATACACACATTTTATGAAACTCCTCATACTGCATTATCCAAGATCAGGGCTTTGAGACCAGGGAAGTGAAGTCATTTCATCTAATAATTTGGAAAAACTTTGTTCAGTGGGCAATGAACAAGTAATGCAAAATGAGTAGATATGAATTTACTCTAAAGAGGAAAAAAAAAAAAAAAAAAAAAAAAAAAAAAAAAAAGCTGTATGGAACCCGTATAAATTTGCAGTTGTATTATGCTCAATATTTCAAAATAACTTGCATGTGTGATAAAATCAGTTATATGGATGAAACAGACACATTGTTGTCATTCTGGCCCATTGTACAAGTTTGTGCAAGAGTCGCCAGCATAAATGCGGCATCATTATTTACAACCATATAGCGTATACAGATTTTGTATGCAAATTGTATATAATTTCTCCGCATTTTTTCTTTTCTTCCTGATTAATTTCCGGAGAGATGGTTCAGGTGTTTATTACAAGTTTACAACCATAGTTCTTGAATCCTCATGCAACATGTATATAGCATTTGGGTAAAAAAGTCAAGTTCCAATAAATGTATATGTATTTTGTTTTTGTATGGATCAATACTTTCTCCTAATCAACTAACAAATTAAGTGAAAAGATTTTACTGAACAGACATTAGAAGAATTATAGAAGGTGAATTATAGAATTATATAGAAGATATAAAAAATATCTGAAGATATCATGCCTTTCAACACAGTCTCTTGAAAAATATGCACCTTTCAAGGGTTCCTAATGCCCATTTCCTTGTTTTCATTATAGAAAAATAGTATTATGAGAAATTACGGGAAAGTTTTATTTTCATTTCCTTAAAGCCTGTGAGGTTTTACCTCCCCCATTGACGTTGACAGCCCATGATGATTTTTCCTCAGATTAATGTCTTTCTAACTTTACACATATATTTTGATTTATTAAAAGAAATTATTCTTTACAAATTGGTGTTTAAAATAACCAAATAAAAAAACTCCAAACTGGTAATTATAAATTTGAGAAGAATGCGTTTTTAATAGTTCAAACATGTCAATAACCTGCAATACTATTGTTTTAATGCAAGCACTTGAAATCAACAGAATTTCCATTAAAGTGCCACTATTCTGCAAAGATAATCTGAGTATATGGTTTTAGATTGAAAGCTAGTTCATTAAAAGTGAGAACTGTCAATGCCACAAAATATCATATCATGGTAGCCACATCGAGACTAATATCTTAAGCCACGTAAGTGATAAAATTAATCTTCCTGTAGTTATTGATGAATATGACACTTAAAAAAAGATTAATATAAGTTTTTTTGCTAACTTTGACAAACAAAAATTACAAAAATGTTCTAGAGATCGAGCTGGGCAACAAACACTCATCTGTTTTATTCCAACAAATGCAGGAATTGGTTGGACCTCTTGTTGGAACTAAATTATTAATATATTTATGGTTTCAATTTCTTCCACCCCAGATGCAAGCCATTATTAGCCTCTTCTGATATCGAGCTTAAAACATTAATAGCTATGGCTGAAAAAAATCTCTGACATGACAATTCCTGCTCAGCATCATGCAATGGAAGTCAGCTTGAAAGTAACTAATTCTATATATTTGAGTGATGCTTTAGATAGTTTGCAGAAACAAATATCTAATTTAAATAAAAAAAATTATATACATATAAAACATTTTACGTTGCATTCTTGTGTTTGATTGCACGCTTGTGGTCGTTTTGATTCTAGATTCTTGCCCAGAAATAAACAAAGCAAAAAAGTATCTATGTGTTGGTACCACAAAAAGTTTGGCAAAAAAGCCATTAAATGCAACAGCCCTTGCACTTTTAAATTGGAAAACTAGAAGGCCAAATTTGTGTGGCAACGAATGTCATAGGCCAAAATAATTGTTGCATCCTTGTATATGAAAAAACTTTGTGAACACAATTTTTGGTCGACACAAGAGCTATTTGTTTGTCTTGCTTCCTACTTTACAATACTGTTTTAAACCAACATCTTAGCTTTAATTAGGTGCAGCAAAAAGTACAAAAACTGATGTACACAGCACAAAAAAAAAAAAAGGGGACAGTTTCATAATCTCCCGTTCTACAGGGCCGATTGACGAAATTCAAGGCGCGACTTAGGATTATATATTAGATTTATATATAGCATTGTTCTAACATAGGTATTTTGATACAAAATAGGACTCTTTTTTAATTTTTTTAAAATAACATACTAATTTTTTTCCCATACTTCAAATCTATGACTCAAATTATGCCTAGATATTAAATTTTGTAATTTTTTGTTAGAAATGTATGGAGAAATTTAAAAATTTATCTTGCCGCATTTTTTTCAGTTTGTGTCAAGAATAATTCACTTGACGAACTTCTTAATTTATAGCAGCCTATTTTCCTTTCATTTTTTTCATTGTACACGAGCAAGAAAAAAGGTCATCTCTCAAACTTTCGAATAATTTCAACAAAGTGCATAAACAACAGTTGGCATTATTATCGCTTATAACAAATATGCCAAATTTTGAAACACGGCAATATGTAAATTCGCATGTATCTTAGGAAATTTTGAATAAAAAACTCTCATTTTTTACAGGTATGCTTAGAAATACACCTACTAAGATGATGGTAAAAATTTTATATTTAAAGATACAAATTTAAAAATATAAATCATAAAATATGTGTGAATTATACTTGCATTAAACCTAAATTTTGAATTCTGAAAGAAGGAATCAAGTAAGTTTAATAATAAAAGATATGTTAATAAATATATACCAAATTCAATTAATATATAAAAGCTAAAATTGACACCTAATTTTTTTATAATTTACTTGTGTGATTTTTACAAAACTCGGCAGTTTGGCATAATTTGAGTCGTAGAACTGAAATATGGAAAAAAAATGGGCACGCCATTTCAAAAAAGTCCAACTTTGTTTCAAAATACCTATATTAGAAATCTAACACATAGCCTAAGTTGTGCTTTCGAGATATGGTAAACGCAAGTTGAATTTCGTCCACTGGCCCAGTAGAACGGGAGATATAGAACTGCCCCCCCTTTTTTTTCCGGTAGTGTACATGGAAAACATCAAGTAAATTTAAGCACAGGTCTACACTGACATTTTCTATGGATTTTTACTATTGCTAATGTGTCGCAACTAATTTTGGGTTCAGATTTTTAAAGTAATTATGGCATTGTTGTAAATTTGAAATCCCAAAATTCACTTGACAGTGTGATTAACACTGCTTCAGATGGCAAAATATCCCAAGATATTATACTAAAAACTAGTTTTACAACTGGTTACATGTATTTAATAATTTACTTTAAAAATATGATTCACTCTGAACACTTTTTTAAAACAGCCTCTGGATAAGGATACTCATGGCATTACATAAGTAATTGAACCCAAAGTTTCACAAATAGTGGCTAAGGCACCTAGCACATGACAAATTGACTGTCACAATAGCAGAATTCACTTATTTAGTGCAAAAAAGCATTTCTAGTCCTTCGAAAAACTGCTTGAGTAGTCTTCTGCATATGAGATCAGATGTGCCTTGGCAACCTTACACTATCATAAATTAAACTCAATCACTATTCCAGGTAATTATCCAATTATGTATCTACACGATTTTACATACAATTTAAAAAATAACACTTTTTTTTTTTTACATTAGATACCAAGAAAGCGTGTCAACCCACGCCAATGAATAAAGCTGACATACCTAAAAGGGCAACAGTTACTCATTT